TCTCTCTCTCTCTCTTCTTTTGGCCGCCTATTACTCCTCCGCTGTTAATTGAGGAAGCTTAAATCATGGCTCCAAACAAGGATCCATTAATTCCCACTTTAATTTGAATTCAAAACTCAAATTAAATCCTGCCAAATCCACTTAAAATATGAAATTAATCCCATATTTTGTGATTACTTTCCCTCCCCCTCTCTCTAACTGTATACCTCTCTCCCTAGCTCTCAAAATTAATTCCTGAGGAGGAGAGAGCTGCAAGGGAACTCCTAATCCCTTACACCACTCCGTTCCCTCCAACTGATCACGAAAACCTGATGTATTTCTTGAACGGGATTGCTATCCAGAATTCTGCATGTTGGTAAACTACTGTCCAGCAGATCTCTGCAGTTCCACACTAGCTAGCCAGCCCCAGAATTCAACCTATTGCTGTCCAGACATCTCATGTCTGCTGTTTTGCATTTCAAGCACCTAAAACCTGCTGTTTAGGAGATTTGGAACGTGTTTTCTTGCTGTCCAGCCTGCTAGAAGGTCTTCAAACACTGTCTGGACATTCGAGACCGCTGAATACACCTTCAGGAAGGTTCTTGAATGCCTCCTACTTCTTCCCAAGTCTTCCGACAGCCGCGGGAACTGATTATTTTCTGATTTTTGGGTAAACTCCCCTCCAATTCTCTTATCTCCTTAGTTTACTCATCAATTATAGTTTTAATATGATTTATGACGATCATGCCAATTATTCTCCGCTAAAGCTTAGTGTTTAGTAGAAATGTGTGATGGTCATTTCATAGTACTAATCTTATTGTTAGCATAGGGATTTATTGTTGAAACCATTCATGTATGCAACGTTAGATTAACTTGATTGTTTTCCGATCTTAACTTTCACGCACGTGATTCGGCCTAAACTTGTCTTGCCGCTCTTTGTGTTTTATTGCGTCGTTTAAATTCACCATTAAGATACAATTATGTGTTCTAAGAATATTAAGCGTGCAAATTTTCTTAAGTTAATCATTCTTGCATGTACGTTTCACATCTCTTCGGACCAAACTACTGTAAAACTCTGCTTCCACTCTTCTATGTTATATCCTCTCTCTGTCTCATAGAATATGGAAATCATGCATCCATTTTTGAAAGTCTTCTTTAGCAGCCCAATAATCCATAACGTAGAAATAGAAATGGCAGTCTTCTTTCCTACATTCCAAGTTCCATTTCAGGCAAGCTCCAATATGCTTGGCAGCACTCCAAATATTACGGAAATCATACTGCAACTATCAATCTAGGAAGCAATCTCTAAGTATCTCTATTTGTAGAAGAGTAATATTATGCATTTAATTCCCTGTATCCATAGTTACTATTTTTCATTTTTTTTCTCTCTTAGACTAGTTTACTTATCTCTATTCTAAGTCCTCTAAGGCATGTTTCTCCTATCAATTTTGTTCTTGTCACTTCTTCAAACGAATAAGAAGTATTGAAGTCCTTTTCTTCTATATTTTCAACATAAAGTAATGGTAATGTAATACCATTTCGATCTCTCTCATCCAACATAAAGTAATGGTAATGTAATAGCATCCTCTCATATGATCTCGTCTTGAATTTATTATGATTTGATTATTAATTCTTAGAATAAAAATTTGATCTTCCCTTATTTTTTATTGTTTTTTTTATGACCTTTTCATGTTGTCCACATTTAAAATAGAAGTTAGTGTACATTCTCTTTTTTTTGTCACCTGATTTTCTCATCAAGGATAAAATCTCTAATTTCGTTAGTACTCTATCTGCATCTTCTAGAACACCAAATTTTAACCATTAAACTTGTCAATCTTAATCTTCCATCCTTTGTGTTTGTATTTGATAGCTTTTTAAATTATGGCTTAAATACTGATTGTTAAGATAGTGATAAAACATCGAACAAAAATCAGGCAAAGATAAGAGAAGGAACACAAGTGTTCACAAACACTAAGCTTCACCTGCATCCACGATCACACAAACATCAAATATTTTTGCTAAGCTTTAGAAGTGGTACACAAAGATTTTTTTTTTCATATATAGAGATGACTTAAAGTTACTGCTTGCTATATATAATGAAGAGCATAGAATGCCCTTGCTTTAATTGATGCTCACAGTGATAAAATACAACTTTCCACTATGGCGACTAAGGCTAAAGTGAGGAAGCAGGAAACCAATGAAGAAGGATTTTGCTGACTTCTTTCTTCGGGGAAGACGCATGTCAGTGTCTTGCTACTGTGTTGCTGAATGGAAACCACCTAGCCCCTTTGTCCTAGTGGAGAAGAGAACTCGACAACTTCTCTTCATTTCTCTTCATTTTCTTTCTACTATGGGATGCCAATCTTTATTTCTAAAGACGCTATCAAAAGCGTAAACAGGCAACCTACAATTAATTTGCAAGATTACATCATTTTCACAAATCTACAAATGATTTCATAGCCTCACTAAAAGGATTTAATTACATCTATGCAAATCTCAATTAAATAGTTATAAGAAATGGGAGACTTGATCATATCTTCTACATATTTGATGGGAGAAAATTTTGGCAATATAATTTAACGTTGAAATTGTCAAACCCAAAGACTATGCTTGAATCCAGGGTCAGCAGTTCAACTGATCAAATGGGTGGCTAGGCTTCAAAAATCATGCTTTGAATTTATATTTATGTTTTAGGGAGTGACCGGGGGCGGTAGAGTAACTTGAAGAATCATGAAAATGATTATGTCTCTATCAATTCCTAAATAATGCTTAAGTTTTCTTTAATATAAAAATTTATAAAACCCCACTTAATATATGCAAATATACGTGTCGAATCAAGTAATATAGTGATAGAGTAGAGTATCGATTCCACGAGGAAGAATGTTTACTTACAAATACTAGTATTGTTTGCTACAATTACAATAATTATCCTACTCAATAAGAATAAGGGCTTGTAGAGATTCAATCACTTTTGTAAAAAATATTATCAAAATAATGGATACCCTTATATGATAAAATATTTTGGATTGATAAAATGTAAATTAATATGTTTCTTAATTATTCTCTTTTTAATGTGATATTATTCAGAGCATATGCATCATCTATGTTAAGCGTAAAGAGACAAAGGAAGGGCATAACTTATTCCACTCTCAATATCACTCTAAACTCTTATAATTTGTCATCCTATAAAAATTTTAGAAAAGTGAGTAAATCATGTACTGTTAATTATCCCTTCATGACAATCTATCTCTAAAAATTTGATAGATAACAAGCACTATGCCTATGCTTGCATCATACCAATCCAATATACCTGGTTGTGTCTACTTTTCTAGTCTTGTACTCCACATTACACCTGATATTAACTACACATATGACCACTATGTGCATTAAATAAAAACCTGATATATTGAAAATATCATATCATTACTTTAAAGATTAAGAGAAATCAGTATTACTCCATATTTAATTTACATTATCAATCAAAAATTAGAAAATTTAGTCATACATGAAGAACAAATGAAGTAAACTCATTTTCATTAATTACATAAAAGAAAGGAAGTACAGAAGAAAAGATATCACCATATAGTTCAACAATCTCCTATACACTCCTCCTTGAACTTACAAATTTGCTTCCACAAACCTGACCAAACACTCTAATGAAGTGGATCTAGCGTTCTCTAAATTTTCTTAGTTATCACTCATAAGAAAATTTCATAGAGACGCTCTGAAGTCAGACTTTTACTAAATGAATGAACTCTCTTATAGACATTACAAGTGTGCTATTTATAGAAAATACAGAAAACAGATTCTGACACCGTGGCCCTCGAGACACTTGCGTCACAACACCCATAAAATGAACTAATGCCGCAACTCTGAAGGGTTTTCTCCGATGCGGCGCTTACTGGCATTGACCATTTGTTTAATGAATCGATGCATCGCTTTGCTGGCAGAACATGTCCTGAACGGTTACAATTGTAGCGATGTGGTGCTGCTGACGATTGAGTATTGTGGCGTTCAAGTGGCACTTCCTTGGCTTGGCGGTGTTGACTTTTAGCGACGCGACGCTGTTCAGCAGAGACTGAGCTTTGCGGCGCTGACTCCTCCGGTGCTACGGCTCTGTCCAGACAGAGACTGGCTTTTGAGGCGCCGAATCCTCCGGTGCTGCGGCGTTGTTTAGACAGAGACTGGGTGCTTCCATGTCCACATATTTTGGCTTCGCGGCAGTATTGTGTCCGACAACGCGGCATTGTACCGGTACTTGAAAATTTTTCCATTTTCTATATTTTTCTGCACAAATACAGCTAAAACAACACATTTTCACTGACAAATTAACACATAAAACATAACATTATTTACAATTAGCAGGGAGCTAGTTTATTAACTTCAAGATAAATCTTCTAAAAATGAAAAAAAAAATGTTGATGAAGCTGGTTCTGTAAAAAAATTAAATGAGTAATTGTTATGTCGCAGATGTTGTTTGTCAATGGGGGATGAAAAAAAGGTAGTTTAAACTTGCCTAGCATTTTCTCGCGTCAGTTAGGAACTAAATTGTAAATAAGGAAATTTATTTCCAATAAAAATCAGTTTGTGATCTTGTTCCCTATAAAAGCTAAATTAGTTTTATAGTCTCCTTGTTAGCTTAATTTAAATTTCTGGGAAATCACTGTGTTGCTTATGTTTTTTTCTATGAGAGACGGCAGAAGGAGAAATAGTTAGACTTACCTGGCATCATATTTTTCAGTTGGGAACTAAATAGGGGATAATTGATGTTTTCCTAGAAATTTAGATTCCTCCATATTCTTTTAGTTAGCAACCTGATTTCCATATTTGTTTAATCGCTTTAGTTTCTGTACTTTCTGGTTGACTCTCATTGATTCTATCTTATCTATTTTTTAGACTTTTCCATTATAAATTGAAAATGATTATCATTTATGCTCTTCATTCATATAAATTTATAGGATGCTATGCTTCATCTTCTTTTTATCATTCCTGAATCAATTACTAAGAAAAGGACATTTCAGGCTTGACTGTATCCCTCTAGTTGATAAAGCTTTCTTCTCCGTCTGGCCGCAGTAAAATATTTATGTTATTGTCGCACTTGTAAGTGTGTGTGGGACCATCATGACCGGGTGATCGCTTTACTCGAGCTTCTGGCATCGAAGTCGTCATCTGTCTAGAGACTGCCGTCGCTTGATTATGGTTAAGATCAGCGGTGCCTGAGTTTTAATCAACTGTAGAGTAGCGCTGGGCCTCCTGGCCCTCCAGCTAGTCCTCCTATTAAGGAGTACTTTATATTTTATAGACTCTAATCATTATTTTGGTCAAGGATAAGCCTGATATTACTTCTCATCCCAGTTTCACTATCAAAAGGAACAAAGTTTAAAAGGTTATTTTTATTTTATAATTGAAATGGTTAGATTTTCGTGCTTCTCCACTCCCCCAGTCAGCAGATCAAAGGTATGCTGGATTTTTTACATGTATTTTTGTTATTGTTTCAAGTTTTAATTTCTTTGTGATGAACATAGCTTTCTTGCCACTTATGCAGAAAGTAGCTCAACGTTCTATTGGAACATTGCAGACAGATTATCAAAGTGCAATTCAGGATGAATCAATAAAGTTTGTTAAAGATTCTGTAAAATCGAACCCTTTGATCGACAACTATAATTCTTCCTATAACTCTGTGGAGAGAAGTACATCTACTTACTCTCTGCAAGGTTGTTGGAGATCGGATAGCCTGAATGTTAATATTCCTGAGGATAACCATGAGATACCACAGACAGTACTGATACGTAAAAGTCATTCTCTACGCAGCATTATGGAGGAAGGGAGTGATTACTCTGGCGATGATATCACAGAGGACGATGATATTGATCATGGATTTTCATATGGTTTATTGAACGGTTGGAAATTGAAGGAAGTTCCAGAGTTATCTGATAATGCTAATTCTACAGAGGTTTTTCACCATGAAAATGATAGGAAAGATTATCAGAATCAGAAGGAAAATGACTTAATGAAATCCTTTGATGTCCTTACAGATCCCATGCATCATGAAACACTTTTCTCTATAGAAGTTTTGAAGCAACCTGATACAGATTGGCATGCTGATATTGCTGAGAAGGCTGTTGATGATGTTGCTGACTTTGGATGCTCATCAGAACATATTCCTACTTTATCAAGATCATTTTCCGTGGCTAACCTCAGAGTAAATAAGACTGAATACGGCAAAAATGACTCAAGGCATAGAAGCATTTTTCGTAGGTCTCGATCCTTTTCAGATCTAAATAACTTGAATATACTAGAAACAGAACATAAAAGTGGTGAAAAATATTTTGATTCTGGGGATACTGTTGAGAAAAATGTCATTAGTTATCACTCTAATTTGCCCCTACATGATGATGTTACTGGAAAAGTTCCATGGTATGATGATAAGGAAGTGGGAGGTCTCAGTTTGGTGAGAAGGAAAATCATTAAGTTTAATGATAGTGATGGTAAATGCTTGAAGTTGAAGTTAGACATGGATAATAAAGCTGCATGCAACTCAAAAGGTAATTTTAGTTTTGCAGACGCCTTGAGAAAATCTGAAGCAAGTAATGCTAATATCACAAGGGAGTTCCAACAGGAATCTTCTCACGACAATTGGGATCAACTGACCCCTCAAGAATTTAGTATAAGGAGAGTAGAAAATTGGATAAGTCAGATTGATATCCATTGTGACCTTATTGTTGAAGAACAAGAAGCGAGTTCTACTACTGTTTCCAAAGAGGAACCCCAAATTTTAGCTGCTGTGGATCCCCCAAAATCTGAGACTCGAAGCAACCTGGCCATGGAGGTAGCTTACAATTATATCTCTTCCATGACTTCCTCATCTTCATCAGCGCAAATGGCAAATCTTGGGTTGGTTGCAGTCCCTGTTCTTAGTTCATTTATCAGTTTGCGAGTACTAAACTTATCAGGCAATGCTTTGGGTATAGTCTATTGATTATTCTCATTAATATCAAACTCACTGTATGCTTCACAAAATGCTGCATGACTTTCTTTCCTTCGTTTTCCCAGTTCAGATAACTCCAGGATGTCTTCCAAAAGGCCTCCACATGTTGAACTTGTCAAAGAATAACATATCAACTATTGAAGGCCTCCGTGATCTATCACGTCTTCGTGTTTTGGACCTCAACTATAACCGAATAGCTAGAATTGGCCATGGTATTGTATTGTTTTCAATATTTACAATTTTTTAATTATAGCCTTTAATTCTGATGATTAGGATGTTATAATGTCTCTGCATCGCTATTGCTTTTTTTTTTCCTGTGAAAGCGGGATTCAAATAAATATTCTGCGAAGATTTTTATTTTAATTTGATACCAATCATCTGCTTATCCTAGTTATTAGGAAATTTAAGCTTTGCACTGTAACTGTTTCATATACTTCATCAACTGGGTTTGAAGGCATGATTTGTTTAGGAATTTAGTTTAGGTTTTAGGTAAATTTTAATAAAAATATATATAAATAAGGTGAGGTGTACACCTCAAACCAACGAGGTGAGGAACACCTTAAGGCAAGTCTCAGTCAAGATGAGGCGCAAGCCTCATAAAAAAAGTTCAAGGAGTATGTATTGAGGCATTTTTTACTGTAATTGTGCTGAGGCGGACCGCAAGGCGAGCCTTAAATTGTGCAATTTTAAACATTTAGTATTAAGAATCATCTCTTATGCATAAGCCATCAAAATTAGCTCACTTAACTCATATAATATCCTGTTCTTTGAATTTCATCCTTATTGTTCTAATTTTTCTCATTCCTTGGCATTGATATAAACATTGATTCATCCTTTCATAATATGGTATATATTGATACATATAAAACACACATTTTGTGGCTCATATATCATTTAGCAATTGATAGGGACATCGAAGCTTGGAAAATCTATCAGAGGCGCGGCCACCGATCTACGATCACGATCGGGCCAATATATTTTTAAGTCATCATATGTATTTATTTTTATTTATTTATATTTGTATTTACTTTTAGTTATTTTCCCCTTTTACCCCTTACTTAAGGGTGATCATATGTAAGCCCAAAAGGCATCGTCGTCTTTTGTTTTTGAGTCCATTATATGAGGCTATATATAGCCCTTATGTTCTCTTTTCATAGTTAATGAATAAATGATAAAAAATTTCCGTGTTTGAGTTCTTGTGATAGTTTGAGAGAGATTGGAGAGAGACCCCTTGGAAAGGGATTCAAATCACCCACCAGCCTTGGAAGATCTAGGTTCGTGGTTAGTTTACCTTTTATTGTTCTAATTTTCATCCTTTGCTCTTCCTCTAAGCCACGGTCCACCAATCTCCACCCGTCGGCTTCATCCCACCACCACCCTAACCCATCCCTTTTTCCCACCTAGCCGCCGCCCCTCTCACCCAAATCCCTATACCGAACGGACGACCACCCCTTTTTTTTCCCCTCCCTCATCAATTGCCATTACACCTTTCCTAAATTAGCTCTTCATATTTTAGGTAACTCAAATAATTACAAATTCAAATTTATTTAAATTTGAAATTATTAACTAAAATATAAATCCTATTTTAGGAAAGTTTCCAAATCCCTTCCTATTTGAATTTTAAATTAAATTGGGAGCTATATATATTAAAACTTACATAAATCTTGAAGAAAATGCCCGACATTGGACTCTATAGGAGAGGAGGAAGGGGGAAGAGCAGTTCTCCATAATGATGATTCAAATGAAGATCCCCTTAGTGATAACAGTGCTGATGACTTATGAGTTCTTATGTGATATTTCATTGCTATTTATTTTTGTAAATTGGAATTATATGTTAATGAAAAGAATACCGGGATTTGGGAAAGATAGAATTTTGAGTTGATTTATATTTCATGTTGTCTTATTATTGAGATATTTTGATTTCACTTCATCTCTTATGCTTTTTTTATATTTTATATTATTCACTCATTAGTATATAAAAATTTTATCATTTTATGTTTACGCAATCTTTTGATTTTGAGGCTTACGCCTCAAAATGCCTTGAGGCTTACGTCTCTCCTCAAGAATGAAAAACGCATCAATACCCGAATACGCAATTTTAAACATTGCCCATGCCCCACCTATTTAATTTCTTTCCAAAAGAAAGTCTCTCCCATTGGAATTAAATCAAACCCTCTCCCTCTCTATTGCCCGACGCCCCCTCTCTCTTTCCCCTCATTATTTCTTCTCAATCAAGGGGATTAACTAAGAAAATATTTGAATTAAATCCCCTCCCCAAATCTAAACCTGTTTTCTCTTCTCCTCTCCTCTAAAAATCTGAAACTAAATTATACTCCATGCTCTCACCCTTGACCGGCCACCTCTCTTCCTCTTTCCCTTGTGAATTTTCAAGATAAGCTCCTCCCTCTCAATAGGAGCCTTCAAGGGAAGTAATGACGATCATCTTCAACCCTTCGAAATCGATGAATGGCCGATTCCTATTTTGACTCCGGATTCGTTTACGACGAGCAAGGGAACGTCAACATTCTCCAGTCAACCTTCTTCGATGTCAACCCGGAGGTCGATAACTCCGTTGAAGAATATTTGGAGCGCATCATCTTCACACTTTTAGAAGCCATCGAAGAACAACTTACCAACGTCCAGTAGCAAATTGTTTTCGGTCATCAACAAGGGCAAGCTTCTCTCTTATTCATTTATCTTCTTATTTCACTAATCTTATAGGTGGTGATTTAATTGCAAGGATTCGTGCTTCGCTCTCTGCCTCCGCTTAGTAATCGTAGGATTTGAGTTTACTTTCTATGTTTTTAACCTTAATATTAATTTAGAGATTTTATTGAATGGCTACTTAATTTGCATCTTGTTGAATTTCTAAATTATTTTGGTGATTCAAGTGCTTAGTTTGTGATTTGGCCTAAGCATAGCAACCCCTCCTTCGTTTTCCATCATCATTTAGTGGCTAACAGTTTAATTATTATTTGCTCCTACTTAAATCGTGCAAGTTCTTACCTCATTCATCTAAAGCATACTTAGTCCTGCATCATCAATATTATATTTGAAATAAATGAGGATTAATTTGAGAATAACAAAATCCATGATTATAGCTATGTATAATATGCATGAAGCTTGTTTGATGTTTTTAAATTTCCTTAACATGCTTATCATGAAAAAAAAAAAAAAACTTCAAATGCAGACATGATAAAATCCAGAATATCATAAAAGGGCTATAGCAAATAATGAGAAGATCAAGGGTAGGTTATAGTGTTTTGGATGAATGGCCGATATTGATTCCCTTGATCTTATACTATTTATTGGGCATTTGAGCACCTTAATAATGTCTGAATTCTACGATCTTGGGCTCGTTGGATTTGCCCCTCGATTCGACTATAAACATGTCACATTTGGAAATCATTTGGTTATCCAATTTATGTTTTAAACCTTCTAAATGTGCTTCGGGCCCTTGATTTGAACCCATTTGGGCTTCAGATTGGATTGAATTTGGCATTGTTAGATTTGCCTTTTCGAAACATTCAGTTCGACTATAAGTTTGCTGAAATCGGAGTTCGGATGGTCCCGAAGTTAATTTCAGAAGTTTCATATTTCAATTTATCTAGTGATTCGTGCCCGATTAAGATAATTTTTTTAATGATATATCAATTATAAATAATCAAGTTCCTATTTCAAATTGTCTAGTGATTCGTGCCCGATTAAGATAATGTGACATGGTTATATTTATTATATAAGCAAGTCACATTTAGAAATCATTTGGTTATTCAATTTATGCTTTAAATCTTCTAAATGTGCTTCCGGCCCTTGATTTGGACCCATTTGGGCTCGAATGGGATTGAATTTGGCATTGTTGGGCTTGTCTTTTTGAGATGTTCAGTTTGAGTATAAGTTTACAAAAATCGGAGTTCGGATTGTCCCGGAGTTAATTTTAGAAGTTTCCAATTTCAAATTGCCTCGTGATTTGTGCCCGATCAAGATATATATATATATATATATATAATCAAGTTCATAATTCAACTTTAATCAGAAATAGTCAATTTAAAACAACTGCCTCAAATTTCCCATGAATAAGAGTACGCCCAAAACCGACAACCCTGAAAGTAGCGTCAAACAGAACCTGCTACAGTTCCAAGAGACACCCATGAAAATAATAAATTGCTGCACTTCTGCATCATATTGGTTTTTTGTTTCTACATTGAAATGCCTCATTTTCTTATGCTAATTTAATTTCCAAGGCAAACAAGATTTTATCTAGCATTTGTTTCTGATAAAATCCATTGATCTTAATCATAAAGGTTTAGCTTCCTGTTCCTCACTCAAGGAACTTTATTTAGCTGGTAATAAAATCAGTGAGGTAGAAGGTCTGCACCGTCTCCTCAAACTGAGCACCTTAGACTTGCGGTTCAACAAAATCTCTACTTCTAAAGGCCTTGGACAACTAGCTGCTAACTATGACTCTTTGCAAGCAATAAATCTTGAGGGAAATCCTGCCCAGAAAAATGTTGGAGATGAGCAGCTGAAAAAGTTTCTTCTTGGTCTTCTTCCTAATCTTGTCTACTACAGCAAGCAGGCTATTCGAATGGGCTCAAAGGAAGTTTCAGACAGTGCCGCTCCGGCTGTTGCTTCACCTCAGTTTGATAGAGGCTTAAGAGTTGAGCACAAGAATTCACAAAGGGGATCTCGTGGCTCAGACCTTAACCTGTTGGCATCAAACAATGGACAGCAAATTCTTGCTACTCCACCACCATCAAGGAAGCCTTCCAAGGAAAGGCATGTGCGGTTGCAACTGCCACCTGCTTCACTAAACCAGCCAAGCTGCGTTCGGATACTGGCAAAAAACCACTTGGTATCAACACTAATGATGCTATGAAGCGAAGCTGAAGCACTGATGTACTTCGAGGCTTTTTCAAATTGTAATTGCAAGAGCAGATGAACTATGGCTTGTATGAAAGAGATGCTGCTTGCAGTCTAGTCTGGTCCTTGAAATAAACTTCTGCCAGCACCAGTCTTGTAATTTCCAGGGTATCTTTGTTGGTTCTTTTAGTGGGTTGAAATCTCCCATGCATGAATTCCTTATTTGTTTGTTGTTTCATGCAGGTTATGGCTATTGCGCAGAAATAAATGATGGTACGTAGCTGTTGATAAATAATTGGAGGTAGGCTTTCTTTCATTTGTTAGTATTCATTCCTTTCACCCTTTATAAATTGGAGAATTTCAGTTATGTGTATTATCAGACTCAGTTGTAAAGTTTGAACAAGAGTTAAAGTACATACTTGTAGCTCAATTATGATAAAACATCTGAGATTATAAATAAAATGATCACTTCTATTAGATATAATGTTGGCAGTAGAAGGATATCAAGATCAGACTATAAATTTTAACTAAGCTCAAAAGAACAAAAGGGTTGAGAGGGGTTAAGTTTCAATACTTTTTCTAAATGAGTTGGTCTAGAAAACATTTCATCACATCTTTTTGACAGCGAAAGACAGGCTGATTGAGATATAAATACAATCCAAAAAGATGGGAAGAGTCTAAACAATATATAAATGTATATATGATGGATTTTCATATGCATCATAAAATTCTCTTGTAAATCTATATAACAAGGAGAATTTTAGATAACTTAATAAACTTAGGTTTCATTTTGGACGGCTTACTGCTTCTTAATGCAACTTTTTAATACAAAAATTAAATTTTTTAACTAAAAAAATGTTTTAAGAAGTAGTAAGAAAGCCATACCAAATGAAGCCTTAAGCTCCTATTTGAAATCTCTATCCTAGTCGACAAAAAGCTGTTTGATGTAGAAGTTGGGCTTAACTAGAATGCTATTTTTTCCTGCTAAGTTGCCTAATAAATTCACCCAGAGTTGCCTAGTTGAGGATGTAAGCTAGCCTGATGAGGAAGTTTTCATAAACTTCTTGAATGAGTCAATTTGCAGGGGATGATGAGTTCATGTTGCATTAGCAAATCCATAGTGGTAACCTTCCTCATAAGGTCATTATTGACTCGTGATTCTATTGCGTGCCAGTAAAAATTGTGGTCTCATTGTGTAGTGATTTCAAGGATTCTTTTAGGGGTTATTTTTTTGGAGGGGTTTTAGGTGTAGTGAATGATAAAAGTGATGCGTTCTAGGAATGTAGGTGTTTGGTTTGCAGAAAATTAAATTCAACATATTGTTAGATGAATTTGAAACACAGCTCTTACTTTTTTATTGTATTCCCTCTTCAAATCTTTTTATTTCAATGATGATTTATTCAGTTATCAACAACCCTAAGATCTTCACAAAGTTATTGTGGAGGTTCACTTCCTCCATCATGGCTGGAATGTGAAGTTCCTTATGCTAAATCTAAAACTTGGTGTATAAGATTATCAAGTTCATCTACTCACTCTCTTAAATAGATTTGTATTTCTAGTGACATCAATTTAGACTTAACCTACAAGTCCTATTCTTTTATGAAGTTGTTTAGATCTTATACTTCTTTGGTCTCATATTGGGTCAGGTGATGTTTTACTCCTTTGAAAGCATGATTTCTTTCATCATCTTTCTCCATGAGCATAGGATATGGTGGACCCTGATCCTCCTCAGAAATATGTTTGTTATAAATAGATTTATAAAGTATAATTTTTAAAAGAATGTCAAAATAGAAGGGTTAGAGAATTAAAAATAAAAGATTGAAAAAAAGAATTTTTTTGTATAAGTCAAACATAATGCTTAGGTAAAAAAAATGGCCTCTTTCTCCCCTTGTTGGACATTAAGCAATATCCGGGTAGATTTCAAAGATTGTTTGGAAGTGACCCATATGATAAATAACAAGTACAACTCACCAAATAAATAAATTTTGTCAGGTGAAACTTGAAAGATGCATAAAATGCTTTCCTATATCATTGGTTCTTGATGATCTAACCAAGGCCATTACATTGTTAAAGTTACCTTGGCGATAAATGTGATTCTTCTAGCCCTTATAGTGAGCAAATATTAGTAACTTGAACTTGTATGTAGAGGGTTCTTTTGCTGTCTCGGGCATAAATGGGAGAAGATAATCTTACATTCTTTTTGTCTGAGTGTTATCAAGAGGTCGGGCTCTTTAATATAAGATATGTGACTTATTGATAAATAACTAGAAATAGATGAAATCAATAGAGTTACCTAGGACATCAATAAAGCATCCTATCAGAGTCAACAAGTATAACATGATTGGAGCCTTAGGAATGATGTTTTAAGTTGGAGTTGCTATTCTAATAGGGTTAGTGACTAAAGAAAGAGGTGTAATAGGACAAAGCATCAAATGGAGAAGAAAATTCATCTTTTTAGAGAGCTCCAAGAATTGAGCTATTATGATGGAGGTCTCCAAAGGTTAGGATAAACCTTAGCAATCACCATTGGTGTAAGGCACAAAGGAAGAAGCAAGAGGTCTCAGGTGGCTACCATGCATTAGACATTCCTCCATCTAATTATTCATCAAAATTAGATAGGTTTGAATTAAAACACACACACACACACAAAAGCAAGAGCAACATAGAGCTTTCAAGGAAAAAGGATGATAGAGCTTCATTGTAAAAAACATTATTTGGGATTGTGTGGAATTTGACTATATATCTTTGGGTTGGATCTAAACTCAATCTATTAACTTGAGTGGACACTGCTAATCAAAAGTCAATAAACAAAAATTTTATATGAACTGTATTAAGTTTTACAAGTTGTCTAAGCTTCATCAATATCTTAGCCTAATCGCTTGACTTAAAAAATTGGCTTCAACCTCCATGAAAGCTTTGAAATTCATCAATTTCTTCCTCATCATACGATAGTTGGACATTCTACAACAATAACTCTACTTAGGTCTTCAAGTTTAATCCCAATATGAACTTAAAAAGCTTGTCTTCATCCATCATGTTCTGTATCTCCCACGTTAATGAACTAAACTCCTTAATGCAATTTTGATTTGCTGAAGTAGAGAAAGTGCATCGCCAGTAACCCACACAAAAATGATATGAAGGAATTACTTGTACATTTCCTTTTTTCAATACCTCTCATTTGTAATAGAAGGTCACCTTCTTTGGAGACTCACTTGCATGTTGTGGATTTGCCAGTCCATAGGAAAACAAGTTAACATTGATAAGCTATGATGCACAGACTCAACAACACGGATACGATACGAAATGTACACGAGATATGTCAATTATTGAAAATATAGAACACGGATACGAATTAGACGCAGTATTATAATTTTTATATTTTAAAAATAGTGTATAAAAATTTAATAAGTATAATATTAAAAAATTTAGGAATAATACGTCATTTAACTAGAATTTGTGCTTAAAATGATTAATATTACGACGTTGAGAGTTGGGCATCGATGTCGTGTATCCGGCATCGAGAGAGGAGATAACAATGCTATTGAGAGTCTAGTGTCAATGTTATGCAATAGATATCAGGAGTCAATGTCAAGTAGGCATTTGTCGTCGATTTTAAGAGGGTGTTGGATGTCGATGTAAGACAACGTCGGACATAAATGAGCTGTCAAGTTGTGGGAGTAGAAATTCCTAGCGTCGAGCATCAATGTAAAGACTGTGTTCAACTTTGATGTTAAGATGATTTTAAAATGCCGATATTGTAACGATGTCAAATGTCAATGTTAAGATGACATTGGAGATTGTTGTGAAACCAAAGTCACAACATGCCAAAGAAAAATGAAAATGAGAATATTCTATGAATGAGGTAATGAACGAGTGGGATTGATTTCGTGTTGTGGATAGGAAATAATAAATTTAATTTTTATATTATAAATAAATAAAAATTTTAAATACAAGAAATTATATTTTAAAATTTTATAAAATATTTAAAACGCACGTGTCCAATTTATATTTAATTATTTTTAATCAGACATATTTTTGGCGAGTCTTACACGTATCAGAGATGTGTCGGACGTGTGTCATGTCGAATACTTGTTAAATACTGCATGCCTCTTTGAGGAGGAGAAGTGTCAGTGCATCATAGTTGATAAGTTGCATGACATCAAACTAATGATGCCATTGCTTCCTCAAGAACTCAATAAAAGATCTGTAATTATTGGTGTAACTTAATCAATTGGTCTTCCTAATTTCCTCCCATCATGGTCTTCATGCAAGAAACTCCATCTTGAATTGAATTTCTGCTCACTATCAAGATCTCTTAACTCAAGAGATTATATACCAATTATCATGTTGCATAGAGTATAACCAAATAGAGTCTTTTTAAATGATCGAACTTTAGGGAGGATGCTTATCAAACGATATTTCTGGAGATAATTTTGTAATGTCGAAGCTCCTGCTATTAATAGATAGCTGTTACAATTTTTTTTTTTCAATGTGATCTAATATTAATGTCGTAGAAAAGCCAAAACAAAATTGAATCTTTCCAAAAAAAAAATTCTAACTCAAACTGCTTCAATATAAATATGTTCCATAAAAAATAAAAAAATTAATTATTCTACTCAAAATTTTATTAAATAATCTTAAATTTTCTTTTTCAAATGAGTATGATATATAAATAATTTAATAATTTATTAAAGTTCTTATCACACTTATCTCAAAATAAATCCAACAATTTTAATATTCATCATGATTTTTTTTTTTGTGTGACATTTGAACTATTTAGGCAAATTCACATGCACATCACAAACGCAAGACCACTTATTAGCCAAAGTCCCCAACCAACGAGAAATTAATCTGTGCGGAGACCGACGATTAGAACCATCTAAATTTGTTGCCCTTTAGCTATGATTTTACTGGGCTTTTGCAAATATTCAACAAAAGCACAATAAATATGCAATTATGAATGCACTTTTGTTACCCTTTTGTTGAGTATTTACAAAAACACAACAAAATGATAGCAAATAAACCCTAAACCCTAAATGTATAAATAATTTAATAATGTATTAAAGTTCTTATTACACTTTGTCTAAAAAAATCCAACAATTTTAATATTCATCGACCTTTTTTTTGCAACAATTGAACTATTAAAGCATATTCACACACATCACATTCGCAAGATCCCCTGCTTAATAGTCAAATATATTCTTATAAGTTGTGCATGAAACCTTTCCAAGACAATATTTTTTCCTCTTTCACAATGCACACCATTACTCCTAATCTAACATAATGTCCTTCAATGTATTTCCTAATCCATTAAAAATACAATTCATACACTTACTAAATATTTTTCACTCTAATTTTGGAAAAATTATTAGGTCTGGACACCAGACGTAACTCTACATCCGGATGCCAATAACTTGTCGCCACGTGCTCTACACCAGACGCAGCCCGACGACCCAACCCAGACCGGAACTCGGTATTACTAGGTATTGCTCGGTATTGTTAGGTATTGCTTGGCAATAACGAGAAATACCGCTCTATCAAGACCAATAACTAGCAATACTGAGCAATACCGGGTTATTGGTATTGTCCGATATTGTTAAGTATTGGTCTTGACAGATTGATATTTCTCGTTATTGTCGAATAATATCTAGCAATACCCCGGTCTGCACAAATCAGCCAATACATAGCAATACCGGATCGGGTCGTCGAACAACGCAATAAAGAGTAAGAAAGAGTAAGAGCACGTGGCAACATATTATTCGCCCATTTTTGTTAGCTCTGTCACAAAACATATTAGCTTCTCATTTTACAACTACAGCTAAAATTTCAAGCAATTTATTGTTGACCGAACATATCAATCAGCAAATCTCAGCAACTTAAAATTTGAATTATATCCAAACAACTAATGCACCTCAATTCCTGCCATTCCAAACTGGAGCTTCAGTTATTGCTTCACCGATTTTTTATTACAATAGCATTGGCCTTCAACACTTTGAATGGATACGATTTTGATCTAATGACCATTCCTCAAAAGTTGAGCTCAAATACAGAGAACCAAGCAGATGAGGAAACAAAAGGATAAACATAACGGCCATAAAAAGTGAGAAATTATTATGTGCAGAGACCGGACGCATAACTTCAGGATGCGTCACGTCAGCGGTACCGAGCACATGAGTGACGTGACACAATCTGATTGATCTCCGGACGGCGTTCAGCGTCCGCACATAATAATTTCTCCGTAAAAAGTTAGTTTAAAACGAGTCCCATTATAATAAAAAACCTCTTCCATAATAAATATATTTGAACGCAGGATCAGTTGATTGGGAGTTTTGATTACCAACCAAAAGAACCAACCTCGGACTCGAGTCTTATATATGTGTTGTGCATGTCAGTTTACCCTTATATATATATTGAAAGCAGATTGAAGTCAGTAATATCCTAAAATAAGCACAAATTGTCTCAACAGTATAAACACTTCAGTTTCCAAAAGATCAGACATACAGCAAGCAAGCTTCTGAAGAAAACTTAGAAACCAAAGGAAAAAAAAAGGCAATCAGCAATCATCCAAACTGGTGGAATAGGGCAGAGTACCCTTATAGCTATCCGATGTTCAAATCTCCAATCTCTGACTGGTTTTTTTCTGAAACAAGGCAACAAGGGAACGTCAGTTGAGAATTACTAAATAGTTTTGAAACTACTTAGCTCTTCGCAAAGTAACGTAGATGTGGAAATATGTAGTCTATGGAGATATTTGTCCAATGTAAGATAAGTCAGACAGTTTCACACTACTAAGATTTGACAGTTTGGTCAAAACTTGTCAACTAAAAAGAAAAGATGTCCAACAATGCTGGTTGCTTGAATATTTTATGTATAAAGAGTTATATATAAAGCATATCCACAAATATACACATTATTTATGTTTTTATCCAATCATGACTCAAAATTAACACGAAAACAACACACTCGATATCAGGGCATGAGTGTAGACCATCCAACTTGAATTAGTAATTTACTAAGCTAGAAACAACTTTCATGGCCCATCATTGTCAATGTGTGTAACAGTTATATTGAGTGTGTTGGCCTTGCCGGACTCTATAATTAAAAAAAAAAAGAACATTAAACACAAATTTTGATACGTTGGAGGCAAGTCCACATCCAGCACATGACATAGAAGATTTTCGAAGTGTTGATGAATATATTAAGTTAAAAATTAGTTTAAAGTATAGTTAAACATAAACCATAACCTATATGGGCAATTATCCATGCTAATTAATTTTAACCATTGTATAAAAAAAACAATTCAAATAAATTTAGATTTATCCCTAAAACTATTAGTTTTTAAATTTTGTGCAAATCCTGGTAAAAATATTAAGGCAATATTCTCCAGCAATGACCCCCCAACCATTGCGTCAGTAGTTGTAGCAATATATTTTAAATCTCTTTTGCGAATCCTCTCCAAAAAAATCTCTCACAACTCCAAAATCCGTGAAAGGCTAAGCACCTCAAAACTACTCAAAGACTAATGATGACAAAATTTAGCACCTATAAAACCTTTGAAACATATCTATTACATATGGAAAAGGATCGATCTATTAATATCAAAGCGCACCTGGCATTGCATATTTGCGCCCATGAAGTTGTTATCTTCTCACTCTACAACCTAGCATTGGAGCAGCTGCACAGCACAAGATTGATCCACCTTATAATCTTTGGCAATCTGCTGCTCAACATGTGCACACATACATTAGTGTTGAAACTTGATTTTTTTTCTATTTCCTTAACTTGCGTAGTTTCAACACAAATGACAAATTTTGGAGTAGCGCCACTTGAAGGGTGCATCCAATTATATCATGCAAGAGTTTGCGTTCATGAAAATCCCTTACAAAGTATAAGAATTTTAGCATTTCTTGTGAACCTAAATCTTACTTCACTAAAAAATATCAACGATACCAAACTCTTTTTAAGGCCCAATACATGCCCAATTCCAATCAATATCCTAATCGCGCCATCATGTATCTCCAACTTCATCATATCAAAATTGATTGTCACGCACCTTGCATTGTTTATCATATAAACATAAAGGCTAGCACATAGCTCATATGTGAAGAAATACTACTTATGGGAGACATGGTAAAAGCAAGTTGCATCTAGAACCTACTAATTTTTGCATTTGTCTCCAAGAGCTATCCAAAAAGAATCATCTAAATCCAAACCTAACCAATCTATAACAAAAACCGTATCAGCTAACACAACATTTTTCTTGTTATCATGGCATGTTGCTCCTTCCACCTCAAAACTTGACAAGTGTCATTTTCGTTTTTGCAATATGAGTCATGTCTTCAAACCTTTCATGGGACTTATCATGCCTAGAGATAGAACATTTCTCAAAATGTTTACCCCTAACAATCCATCATTTCTTTCTTCTCACACCCCCTTCAAGCTTAACAATAACATCTTTAGAAAGGTGATACTCTAAGCAAATTGTATTTCTACCAAATAACAGTGTCACAAAAATGCTCATAAGAGAGAAAGAGCTTAGAGTAACAAAGCTTGATTTTCATCATCAAACATCACATATATATTCGCACAATGGTTTCATTGAGATTATGAAAACAAATATCAGTCATGAAGACTCAAAAAAACTTAGGCTTCACTCAAATGTTTCGGGAAAAAAATATATACACAAGAGTTTTACCTACTCAAGTAGCATATTTACAGGTCAAAAATAAAAATCACATGAATAAACGAAAAACATATAACATTAGTTATAATTATCAGCTAATCTTCAATCACCTTAATCCTTCTTCTCCTTTCAATTATATTATGAATGAACTAACAAAATCCACTAAAATTTAATTAACTTCATATTATGTCACAAGCAAAATCCAATTAAATCTATGATTATCACACAGGAATTCCCAAGCCATTTTATGCCCCTTTCTAATTTCAGCTTGCTTGCAGAATCATGTAAGCAGCTTGCGGCCCTCCCTCCAGATTGACATAACTATGATGTTCAATTTCTGAAGTAGCAAATGCAGAAGAAATTGAAGAATCAGAAAAAGATAGGATTTAAACAGAAGAATTCACTAGGCCCTTCTCATGAGCAAGTTGAGAAGAAGCTAAAAGAGATAACGATGTTCCTGTTCAGTAAACACAGCTGTGGGAAATATATTTCAGATCGGATGCAAAATTGTATCACAAAATAGAGTCACAACACACAATGATCACTTAGACATCTCTTATAGAAGAATATCTGCATATTACAATAGGAAAGAAACAAACATTATTATTTACGGCACCCTTCAAAGCTAACTTTTATTATTTACTAAACAAACACCCATATAAGTATTTATCAGAAAAAGAAACAGCACCCTACCCTTCAAAGCTAACAAGGACAACTTAGTTAAGCCTCCAAGAGAAAAAAGTATTTTCCACTAACCAATCTTTTTTCTTAGGACATGTTTGACTTGATGCAAATGTTTGGAAGTATTTGGAGCTAAATTTTGAAAATGAGTTTCATTAAAACAAATTTCAAATATATTTGTTCGTTTTGCATGTACTATATTTTGGAACGCCGTTTCAATATTTGTTTAAACTCCGGTGAGTTTCATTTTTAACCATTTTATTAAACTTAAAATAACTATTATTATTATAATAAATAGAAGTATTCTAACTCAATCTTCCTTTAACCTTCTGTTCTTAGATTGTTAGTTTGTGCAAAAAAAAAAAGGAAAAATGAATGTGTCGTTCAATCCCTTATAAGTCAAAATTCTCACTTTTATGGAGGTGGCCATTTAATTTGTGCCAGACAAACGCTCATACTGAGTTCCATAACTCAATTTCAATCATATTCAAACGTAGAGGTTTATAAAACCATGGCACAAAAAAGACGTATGAATCTTTCTAAAATCCAAAAACAAGAAGCCCTAACCTTTCAGTCCGTCCGAAGCAACATGGAACTCCTCCTCCTCCACGGGTTGCAGTTCCAACTCCTTGTCTACCGCCGCAGCAACACCATCCCCAACCAACACAACGCCTCCACCACCAGCTTCATCAGGATAACGCACCACGATGACGGGGCAGACACAGTGGTGAACGCAATAATCGCTGACGCTTCCAAGCCTCCCATTGCTGCTCCTCGTAGATGCCCCGACACCCCTGCTTCCCATAATCACAGCACAAAACCCAATCCTCTCGACTTCGAGGCAGAGCCTCTCCTTCATATCATGGTCTTTAACGATGTGGATCTTGAAAGGAATCTGCGCCTCGACAAGCGGATGGGCTAGATCCTGCGCCTTAGTGGTAGTGAAGGCATCGAAGTCATCTTCCAGCTTCTGCTTCGACTTCTCGGATTCGGTCTCCTCGGCCGCCTCCATGACAGAATGGTCGATCGAGCCCCAATCCGCGCCGTAAAGTACGGAGGTGGGGCGGACATGGAGAAGAATAACAGCGTCGCCTGGGCGGAGATAGTTCTGCACCGCCCACTTCACGGCGTAAGCACTCTCATCACTCAGATCAACCGCGATAGCGATCCGGCGGTGTGAAGCAGTGTTAGGGCTCGCCGCTGCGGCGGATGAAAAAAACAAACGAGGGGAAGAAGGCTGAACCGTCTGCACCGCCGCAGTAGCAGCTACGGCTGGCGATGTCGGTTCCGGTGGTTCGGCGACTTGCATGCCGCTTGACGAATTACGATAACCACTTCTAGGGATTCTCTCAGACGAACGAACTCCTCTTAGTGTTCGTTTTCTCTTCACGAGAAATCTCAGGACGAAGCGATGCGCGTTGCTTCGCTTGCTAGACGAGGCTCGAGGAGTAAAAGGAGTCTGTGTAACGAACTTTTATTTCATCCGCTGCAAGGACATAGAGGAACGTCCGGCGATTTCCTGCTAAAAAATTAGGTATTTGTTCGATATAATTAGGTATTATTTAATAATAATGAGGAATATTGTTTTTTGAAAATCAATACCAAGTTATATCAAGCTGTACCGAGAAAATACCAAGTTGTACCGAGTTATATCGAGCTGTACCGAGAAGACCAAAAACTCGGTATAACTTTTGTATAACTCGGTATTTGCTCGGTAAAGTCCGATATAACTCGGTATTGGGTTTTCAAATGATGCTGGTATTCTTCGTTATTGTTTGACATTGCTCGGTATTTGCTCGGTACAACTCGGTATTTGGCGGGAAATTGCTCCGAGGAACATCCGGTCGGAGTACGTAATAATTGTTCCTGTGTAACAAGTGGCGAATGTGTTAGCTAAGGGAACATTCAGATATTTAGAAGCACGCTTGAGCGTGACATTATTTGGATAATTTTCTTGTCGAGGATGGAGAAATTATTCATTTATTCTGTGCGGGATAATTGTGACAGCGAAATTGTACATATGAATATTCATTTTAATTTCTTATTTTATTTTTTTTCTTGTTAGTCTGATTAACCCGGCCAAAAAATTTTATGTTCAAATTAGGGCTTAGGATTGGAGTGATTATTATGTGCGGATATCGGACTGTCCTGAGGTGAATCAGAGTGTGTCACATCACCCTGGTACACACCGATACAAAGCCATGTTTCACAGCAAAAGAGTGATGCGGTGCACTCTGATTCTACTCTGAATGATGTCTGGAGTCCACTCAGAATAATTTTTCTTAGGATTAGGACTCTTTTTTAAAATGAAATTATGCAAAAGTATCATAAATTTTAAGATTTTAGCTCAATAAATTTTTCATAGCTGGTGAAAAAGAAGAAATGAGGAAAAGTCGATAAACTTTTCATGATTGGTAATAAAAACAAACGGGACTAAAAAATTACTCTTACAATAAAAATTTGTCGAATTTCGCCGGGGGGCGGGGGGGCATTGTTCCCTTTGATCCTGAACGTATTCCCTAAGTGTCCCAAAAAAAAATATCATTCCTTCATCCTATAGATCTTTCACCTTCAACTCTTCATCTTCGTGAACGTTTGCATATCACCATCGGCCCGGACGATCCTGGGAAAAATATCACTTTTCCCAGCAGCTACAGCAACAACAAAGGAACGAGGTCTCACATCATCTACTTGAAGAATAAACATCCTACATCAAACCAATCTTCATCTTCATCGATTTTTACTCCTTCCTTCTTCCTAAGTAGCTATTAAAAAGTTATTGAGCTAAAATCTTAAAAAATACGAAATTTTTGCAGGTAGTTAATTTTTTTTTTAAAAAAGAGTCAATTCTAAACCCTAAATTTGAACATGAAACTTTTGGGCTGGGTGGGTCGGGCTGACAAGAAAAAAAACAAAATATGAAATAGAAATACATACCCACATGTATAATCTAGATGTCACAATTTTATTGGAGTATGAACATAACACTAAGTCCAAACTCCCTTCAGAATAATCTATTCTAGAATGAATAATATTACGTGTTGATAGCTTAGCTTAACGTGTTGGGCCAATAGTAATCATATCTCCGATAGGGGTGTCAATTTCGGGTCACGGGTCGGGTTCGGGTCAAACCCGAAACTGACCCGGCACTATTCGGGTCAACCCGACCCGTTTTTTTAAAAACGGGTCAGTTTTCTTGACCCGAACCCGACCCGCTTCGGGTCCGTGTCAACCCGATACGACCCGAATGACCCGTTTCCAACAAAAAAAATGTTAGTTTTCGGGTCAAAAACGAATCTATATCCTCTATTTCGGGCCAAAAATGGCTATATCTCCTCTTTTTCGGGTAAAAAATGGGTCAAAACCAGGTCAATCTCGGGTTGCCGGGTCAAAATCAGGTTTTCGGGTCAAAATCGGGTCAATTTCGGGTCAAAGGATTAACCCGAACCCGACCCAATTTTTGAAACGGGTCGAAATGTTGAACCCGAACTCAACCCGTTTCGGGTTCGGGTTGACCCTAACCCGAAATTTTTGGGTTGGGTTCGAGTCGGATTTTCGGGTCGTGTAAAATATTGACACCCCTAATCTCCGATTTGCATTTTTTTATTGCAATTTTTTCTTCATAATATACAGTGTTCCTTCTAAAAAAATGATAGAATATAATTCTAGATTTATTTGCTAATCTGAATAGGAATTGTTCTATCACTTAATTCTTTGATTTTGTTCAAGGTTTTTATTATATTACCTTATTGAAAACTCCATAAAAAAATGTTCTTGATAGATTTTATTGAATTTCATTAATCCTTTTATGGATTATTATGTAAAAAAAATGGTCAAATATTTTTCATATAATTTTTTATTTTGTTTATGAATATAAAAATTTATTAATATCTCATTGGAGCATCTTCAAAAATTACTCCAACACTCATCTCTCTCCTCCAGAAATAACATATGAAACGGGATTATTTTCAAATGTATCCATGAAATTATTCTATGCAGAGTCCGAATATAGAGGATCATCCGGAGTGCTGCCTACGCACTGCGTACTTATTGTGTATGCATTAGGTACGTGCTGCGTATGTACTGCATATTTATAGATATGTAACAAAACTTAAGCCAATCATTAGTTTTGAGTATTTGCTGAGCATTTAGTGAGAATTTTTTTGTGTTTTTACTGAGTATTTAGTGAGTATTGTTGATTTGCTATTTATTTGCTACGTATCTACAAATACGCAGTATGCACGCAGCAATCAGAAGATCGTCTATGTTCAAACTCCACACAGAATAATTTCTCGTGATCAACAGGGTGGGGTTAGTAGTTTATTTCTACATCTCAAGCTAAGGACAATTGAATTTTTAAAAAATAATCTCATCAAGGACTTCAAGGGTGAAAGATCAGTTACGCATCATATTGGAATGAGTAGAAGTAGCTTCAATAACAATAGCTTTCCCTTATGGTTGAGTTAAGATGGTTCGACAGGCGAGAATAATCATGTGTTAGGTTTAATGATGAATTTCTTTGAATGGGACCTCAATTTGTTCTTCGTAACAATAGTGTTACTAATAGATGGTTCGTCAATGTGGAGCTTTTATTCTGTACGGACACCGGACGGGAGAACTGTCCGGTTAAGTACTGGGAATCTAACGGTATCTAAGGGTACCGAGCTGGTTACCCAGTAATGTGGAGACGTGGCGCATTTTTATTGGTCTCTGGACACCCTCCGCACTCCGCACAGAATAATAAATTGTGGTCAAAATGGATAGTGTGAATCTAAGGCTGAACACTTAGGAAAGTAAGCTAACCGATGGACAACTCGAATCTGCCTTAAGTAATTCTTGTTCAAGTTAGTGATTCAATAAATTTGAACGCTCTTTAAAACCTCTAATGTTAATTGAACCAAGGTTTAATATATTCTAACTTCTTTATTTATATTCATGAATTAGCCAGTATCTTATAGAGGATTGATATTAAACTTGGTAATTACTAGTATATTATTTAATTTAAAGTTAATTAAATATGACTTCTTTAAATGCCTATTTAATATAAATATATTATATATTTATTAGATTTAGCTACTTTCCCAAATCTTTTTTAGGACATTTAAGTCAATTAAGAAAAACTCACACACATACATACATAAGCTTCCCCATAAACCTCGATTTCTTCGCTTCCAATCCTATCGAAAATCTAGAAAACACTAAAAAAATTGTCCCAAATAAAACCTTAATACTCATTGTTTGAATTCTATTATTTATACCTTATCAAATGACTATGAGCATTCCCACATTCTAAATAAATGCATAGAAATTTTTTTCATCTCCAAGCCAAACCACTCTGCTATTGCCTATTGTCGGCAAGCTAGTAGGATCTCTTCCCATCAACGACTTGCCTTTGATGGAGCCTTGATTCAAGTGTTCCTAAGAGCTAAGTGTTGCATCCAAGAGTATTCGCGGTGGTAGAGAAATATAAAGTTTAAAATCTTAGTGTTGTACGAAAATCTGCATGCATTCAGATAAGAGAGAGGGTATGCAGTATTTATAAAACACCAAGATTTTTACATGTAAAACCCCTAAAAAAGGGGGAAAAATCATGGGGTCTTGCCCAGTATAAATGAATCCACTAGTATTGTAGTTGATTACAAATGAGGTCCTTCCTCGGGAGAAGGCATTAGCTTGATGTACATCTTATAAAGTACATTATATGGTGAGAATATAAAGCATCACTGTTGATGTGCTTGTTTGGTGTAAATGACTATAGTCAGTGTGCGACGTAAGTCGAAAGGACCGTAGTCGGTAGTAGGGGTGTCAATTTCGGGTCACGGGTCGGGTTCGGTTCGAACCCAGAATTGACCCGATACTATTCGGGTTCGGGTCAACCAGGCCCGTTTTTGCAAATTAGTCGATTTTTCGAACTTGAACACAACCCGCTTGAGGCTCGGGTCAACCCGACCCGACCCGCTTCGGGTTCGATCCTCCAGCATCTTCCACGCTGTCGCACGCGATTCGGTCCTTCGGCTGTCCGGCAGTAAGACACGGCAGCAGCCGCCGGCTGGGCAACGCGGCGAGCAACACAAGGCAGCAGGCAGATGGCGATGTGACTCGTGCAGGCGGTGATGTGACTTGGGCAGCGGGCAGATGGCGTCATGGCGACTCCGAAAATGCTAGACATCCTAGACTCGACGTCTTGAGTCTCGACCCTCATCCCAAAGTGGTGAAGCTGCTAAGCCTTTCGACGAGGAGTTGCGGACCACGCGCTCACACGGGCAGCCGGGGCGAGCAACGTGGGGGAGGGGCAGCCGGGGCAGGCAACGCTGGTCAGCCATTTTCCAGGTCATTCCCGGGTTTCATGGTCAACCCGAACCCGACCCGATTTTACAAACGGGTCGGTTTTTAGGACCCGAACCAGACCCACTTCGGGTTCGAATCAACCCAAACTCAAAATTTTTGGGTCGTGTCCAATATTGACAGGTTTAGTCAGAAGGATTGCAGTCGGCGGGCGACGTTAGTCTGAAAGACCGTAGTCGGCAAGAGACGGAGGTCAGAAGGACTAGTTCTAGTAGAAGTCCATCAACAGACAGAAATCCAACATCAGATAGATGTCAGGTGAAAGTCTGACAATTAGTAGAAGTCTAACGTCAGATAAAAATTTGGCGAAGAGCGGCGAGGTCCTGACACAGAATAGAAAGATAAAGAGACAGCGTTGTTGTGGCGAGAAAACTCTGACGTTAGTGGTCATACTCGGCGGCAGAATTCCGGCTGTCACTTGAGAAAGTACTATGGGTGAAACTCCAGCTTTGCTTGGACGGGATCGTTGCTGGCAATTCCCGCGTCACTGAACAGAATTCGGCGGCCGTGGTCTCACAGCAGGAGTCTTCTCCTCCTCCTCTCCTCTCTCCCCCCCCCCACCCCCCCCCCGCCCCCCCAAAAAAAAAAGAAGAGAAATGGAGGGCTCTTTATACATTTATGGAGTGATCCCCACTCACTCCGTGAGAGACCTCGCGCGCTCTCAGTATATAAGACTCACTCGCCCTGATATGAATCCCTTTATCACTCTCTCACTCTCACTCAGGACATGTTGAAGGTCTTAATGACTTCAGAATCGGCGATCTTGGGCTCCGTTGGATTCTTCTCGTTGAGCGGCCGATTCGACATAAGGCTCCATCACACTCCTCACCTCTCTCGTAATACATTGTGCTACGAACTTTCCAATAGGGCTTGGATCCTTGATCTGGACTCATTTGGGCTCAGATTGAGTCGATTTTGGTGTCATTGGGTTTGTATTTCCAAGACAATCAGTTCGACACCAAGTTTACTGAAATCGAAGTTCATATGATCCCAGAATTAATTTTTGAACTTTCTAGCTTGATTTTGCCTCGAGATTCGTGCCCGGTCAAGATAATTTCTTGATGACATATCACTAAGCTTTCTATAAAAAGTTAGGAACCTTAGGGTTTTAAGTGTTATTGTGTAGGAATGGTGGTGAAGAGATCAGCCAAGCAAGAGAAACTCTTGAAATCGAGATCATATAAGATTTGCTTAAAGTTTAATGATTTGCTAATATGAAAAAGTTTTGGCCTTGAAAATACTTGGAAATGGTTTGTTAATGTTATTATATTAGCCCTAGAGTTTGGTATTTTTCAAGAAGATTAAAATTGAAAAATAAGAGCACAATCAAGACTAAAGTTTCGTTTGGGACGGCTTTTTTACTGCTTCTTAAAAAAAAAAAAATTAGTACAAAAATTAAAAAGTTATTTCAATAAGCAGTAAAAAAAACCTCCCAAAAGAAGCCTAAATCATGTATTACCATATTTAACATATTTTGAGAATAGCCCTATTCATTTTGAGTTTTCTTATAAGAGATAACTGGAAACTCTTAGAAGTAGTGTGGGTATTCTTTAGATTAGCAGTTTATGAGAATTTTTCAATAGGATTAGAGTTGAGAAAAGATGGCAAAATCAATACTATTTCGTGAATGCCATGATCTGATTGAATTGACACATCCTCAATTTTTTCTAAGTGATTGAATTATTGAAGGTAATGAATAGAAGATGTAGTAGTAATAGTAGTAGTAGAGAAAGAAATCTTCACATAAACTATAGAATAAAATATTAAAAAGAAGCCCACGCTAAGCTATATGTTGCCACAATCACCAAGCCTAGAGAAGGAAGAAATGTTGGGAAACAATAGCAACTTGTTTTTACAATTTGTACAATAATTGTTCATTACAACATTTCTTATAATATTAAACATCATTCCTATTTGTAAAGAAGTGGGCTAATGAAACACTTCTTATAACTATTGATCATTTAAATCCAAATAAAGATGCTTTGGTCGACCACATCGAATCAAATTATTGTAGGAACATGTCTTCATTCAACATCTCTAAGTTGCAGAAATCTCCATTTAACCATCTCATGATTAAGACTTCGTTTGAGACGGCCTATCTGTTGCTTCGTAAAGCAACTTTTTAGTATAAAAATTAAAAATTTTAAGGCAAAAAAGCTGTTTTAAGAAGCAACCAAAAAGCAGTTCCAAACAATACCTAAATCCAAATATAGAAGCTTTGGTCGACGCACCGAATGATGACTAGTCTTACACACTTAAACTTTTATTCTTTTATCATGTGCTAACTTCATGCACCCTAATTGTAATAAGACTCATGACATGTTCCTACAACCATTATGTCTTACATCTCAAAGACAAAGATGCAACATACAACACAATTATTATTAAGGTAACACAAATATATATATATATCACATTATATCTAAAATCCTTGTGATAATTTCATGTGGAGTCAATCCAACAATAACAATAATATATTGATGATGGAACCTCCAACAATAACAAATTTATAAAGAAGACTGAAGTAAGTCCAAGGCAAGACTTCAACAACTTGCAACCAAATTTGGAAAAATACACTTTAGAAGAAAAGAAAGTTCAAATGAGACAGCAAAGAATACCAATGCGAGTTGCAACAACTAAAGCAGCGTTAAAAGTCCTAAACCTCGGTTGTCAGGGCCTCACTGAGAAACGCCCTTCCAGGCTTCCGGTTATCAAGAGGGCCATGGCATCCCAGAAGCTTCGCATTAACTCCATCAGACAAAATCCTATTCTCCTGCTTCCACTTCATGTAATCAGTCCGGTTATATTTGGTGAATCCCCACTTTCTGCTCACAATAATCTTCTGCCTTCCTGGGAATTTGAACTTGGCCCTCCTCAGAGCCTCTTGAGCATGAGCACTGTTGCTATCCTTGCACCGCACAGACAACAAAACCTGCCCGATCGCGACTCGAGCGCAAGTTCCTTGTGGTTTCCCAAAGGCACCTCTCATGCCAGTTTGAAGCCTATCAGCCCCAGCGCATGAGAGCATCTTGTTGATGCGGAGGACATGGAATGGATGAACCCGAACACGGAGGTGGAAGGCGTCCTTCCCTGCAGCCTTGGTCATGTACTTGTTACAAGCAATGCGGGCGGCCTCGAGGGCTTCGCTGGACACATTCTCCTTCTCCCAGCTGACAAGATGGACGCAGAATGGGAACTCGTCGACGCCTTTCTTCTTCATGCCAACATCATAGATGCGGATCTTGGGATCAGGGACACCGCGACAATATCGTGACTTTGGATAGGGCTTGTTCTTGATCTGACGATAACAGCGAGCAGGCCTGCGACCCATCAGGATGCTCTGCAATATAACAAGATCGTTAAGCAGCAGGAACAAATGGAAACTGGATATTCACAGGCATTTGCAACATATATCCAACATAAAAAACTCCCCCAATCTCTTACAATTATCATCTCTATCAAGCTCAATTTGGCCACACACACTACAATTGCATACAATATATTCAATCTTTAGCTATTGATCTTAATCTAAACATTTTCTACATTGTTCTAACATTTGATTTATTCCAACAAAGGCCTCACAAATTAATATTCTGCCAAGCAAGAAAAAAAAAACAAGCAATCTGTCTTCAAAATATCCTTTATAAGCATCTTCAAAATAATATCAATCATTGATGTAATCCCAGAAATATTTTCGTCACTCTACAATTATTTCTAACACGTATCACCAATATATCATACATTTTTCTAATAACCCCAATATAACTTTAACGCATGTTTTATTTCCTTCAAAAATACATATCAAATCAATTCTCGAGATAATCAGTCTTATACCTTCTTTAAATCAATTAAAACCTATTAAAATATTTTCTTTGCTCTAATCAATATTTTCTTTATTTATTTTATAATTTAAGGGCAAAAAATAATCTCCTCAATGAGTATCATTATTATAAAGCAAAGTCGATTATCATATGCAACAGAAGTTCTCCAAGTCAATTGTTCAATTGCTCTCACCCATAATGTTATTATATGATGCATAAGCTTTACACATTTATAATTATCACAATCTTCAATATCTACTTGGCTATTGAATGTTAGCAACAATGCTTAAAATTATACAATCGAGTGTTTCGGTACTTTTTTCTTATTAAAATTATGCAACCAAGTATTGAGGTGTTTTTTTCTTAGGTTGGGCATAAGTCTCAAAATTAAGCTATTACATTAATAAAAAAGCAAAACATAAAACTTTTGAGAGTAATAAAAACAAACTACTAGAGCTCTATTTTGATGAGATCCCTTTAAAAACTTGATTTTAAAAAAATGATTATCATCCAAATGAGAGTAATATGATGCGAAGATTTAATTTGCTAAAAAAACCATGTTAATCTCAAGATCATAAAATTTCACGAACACTAGTTGGAAATGAATTGAGAAGATATAATACAGCATAATTTAATGAACACCAAAGATGGTTAGAAATAGTATTACAAAAGATGCAGATAAATTTTTTAATGGAATAAAGCTTTCAATTCAAAGTTCCTTCATCCTCAACAATGAACAATAATTAGACATTATGTCAAAGAACACACAAATACCAAGGTTGTGAAAATCAAACCGGACAAAGAACCGGAAGAAAGAGAGGTTCAATGTTCGACCAATTCGCCGGTTGAACCGAATGATGTAATAAATAATAATATTATTAAAAAATAATAATAATTAACATAATAATATGACAATCTAACTTTAAACACAAATCCATCATGTCATACATATCAAGTATCCAAACTAAAAAACAAATAAAATAAAATAAAAAATAAAAAAAGTATCCAAATTAAGAATTAGTTAGAGGTTTAAAATCATACTTTATGTTATATATTTAAATATGATTTATACATATGATATAATATATTCAATAACATAATATAAATATATAAGCATTTTAAAATATTTATAAAATTTTAAAAAATTCTAATAATAATTTATAAATATAAATATTATTTAAGAATAATATATTTATATATTAATATATTAAATATATTTAGAAAAGAAATAATTAATTAATATATATATTATATATATTAATTCTTATAATTATAATAAATTTAAAATACAACATAAAAAAGTTTGCAACCTAAACAACCCAAATTATAAGCCGTAATGTGTAAGATCGATTAAGCGCAAACTTTACATCAAATTCTGATAAATATTCATGCAACTTTTTAGTCTCACATCATTAAGGAGTTCTGAGGTACTGGTCCTTTAATCATTTAATATAATGATAAAGTTCACACTTATTACTAAACATGTATTATGTGGATATATGTGGAAATAACAGCCATATATTACTTAGTGTAATTAATCATCATTTTAAAAAAATCTTAAACAAAGAATTGTTTTTTTAATAAATCTTAAACATATATTCGTTTAAATGTTAATTAAAACAAAAATAATTTTTTTATCAAAACGACCAATTCTTCCAACGCCAGACGGATCGAATCAGTTCAACCGTTTAACCAACCGCTATTTTTTGCTGGTTCAATCTGATTCGATGCGAAGCCGATTTTTTAAGCGTGATCGGATCCGGCCAACCTAACCGCAGTCATGGTGAAACGAGCCGATCTGGTCCGAATTTTAAAACTATGACAAAATATACCATGGAAAAAATAACAGTCTAAAAATTTAGGCTGAATTAGCAATCATTGTATACAGTACGAAGAATTTAGGAAAGCTATGAAAGGCTTACAAGACAATGAAATGATACAATGTTTTTGATAAACTAGATTCCGACCGTGGTATCATCATGAACCAGCTGGTTGTAGTGTCCATATCCGCATATATAAAATTGGCTTCTGCGATCAGACCAAATTGAATCGAAAAAAAAAACAGTTCAAACCGGGTGATATGGCTGCTGAATCAAGGTCTGGGTTAGAAAGAACCTGGCCTAGTTCCTATAAAAATTTTTATTTTAATTATATTTAAATAATATATTTTAGTTTAATTAAATCGTTTAAAATTTTAAATCTTTTATTAAATATGATAATTAATTATATCACTAATATATGTATGTTGATCTCAAATATTGCTTACATAATATGTGTTATAAAAAGCATTTTGTTACTTCACACTATAATAAACAGGTGTCAAGACAACTGATCCTTTCAAAGCTCCTCCTATGATATAAAAAAAAAAATTAAATGATAGTTTAGATATGAATTTAAACTTAGTTTAGGCTTAGACTTTGGGCTATAAAATTTGGGTTAATTAGGCTGTAAATTTGGGCTTATGTTGAGCTGATGCAAATGTTAGGCAATGTATTATTATCAAATTTGTTGAGTAGATCGTAAATTATAGAAGATTAATAATTATATTTCATAATTTAAAAATTTAATATATTTATCGATTAAATATTATTCTTATAAATAATATTTATATTTAATATAATTTTTATTATATATTTTTTTTAACACCCTTTTATAAATATTATTAAAAAGTAATAAATGTATTATATTATATTAATTTTAATAATTTTTAATAATATTATCATTTATTACATTGGTTCAACTAGTCGAACGGTTAACCTCTCCTTCTTCTTATGATGCATTCTCCGGTCCTTTTTTCACAATCTTTTGAAATGATAGCCCACTATTACAAAAAAAATGAAAGTTCAAATAAACAAATGCAAACAATTATTACAGAAATGCTTATTTTTAAAATGAATCAAAGGTGGCGGTAGTTCTGAAAGTAAACCTCTCACAAAAAAGCAACTTTCTGAAGTACCAAAACAACGTTAACACCATAGGAAAAGATTTTGATTTGCCCCTTAAAGCCCTCAGCATCATTCAATCACATTCATCAAAAAGATTCAGCCCACTACTTTTTTCACAAATGGTGATCTTCATAGGGTTTTAAATCGAGGGGTCACAATCAAATGCAAAAGACTAAATAAAATCGGAAAACAAAAATGAAAAACAAAAAAAAAAAAAAAAAAAAAACGAAAAAAAAAAAAAAAAAAAAAAAAAAAAAAAAAAAAATCGACTGAATCGATAGAGAACATAAAAGAGGAACTAGGTAAGATAAAATCTCCTCAGTTCAGGTCTCCATAAACTTTTTCCTCATGGGCAGTAAATCTTCCCTCGGAAGAACGAAAGTTTTCATTCTATCATCACCGGAGATAGTAGAAAAACGACAATTGAAGATCGAGTTGAAAACATAAACTATAAAAAGAAAAAAATAAAAAACAACGAATTTGTATCTTGATCGAAAAAAAGGCCCTATAGATCTTCACGTTGATACTTCAGAGATAATCGGTCAACAAATAAATGGAAGCTGAGAATAGAGAAAGTACCTCTTTCGCCTCGCCGGCTACAAATGAAAGCGTCTCGACGGCATCAACGGAGGCGGGAATTTATATAAGGGTTAATCGCAGGTAAGAGCTGAAGCCCTAGAAACACTTGGATCAGTCAAGCCCACATCAACCGTCCATCGGCCTCGAGCAAATTTCTTTTGTATCCAACGGCTATGTGGATCGTACCTAATTACCTATTCTTCTTCTTTTTTTTTTACATAACACCACGAAATTATTATGTACATTTTGTCTAACAGTTAAATTTTTATATTTATACATATGAAGTTATAATAAAATAAAAACATTATTAAAATTGTTTTGTTTAAAAAATATTAATTTTGTATGTACATATTTTGTTAAAAAGCATAATATAAATAAATATAATAGTTAAATATTAATATGCAAATCCATTTATTTTTTGTTGCATCTATAAATAATGACACTCGGATCTAATTCTGAAACTTTTTTCTAAGAATTATTTTGATATTAGCTACATTTATTTCAATTATTGATATTGAAAAAAAAAGTGTATATCCGCATATGTTTTCACTAGAACATAACACTCAATTGATGGGCTACAAGGAGAGAACTCATATCCGTTGGGTCTTATAGAGGAATTCAAACAAGTAAAATCAAACCCTACTTACCCTTGTCCTATAACGAAAGATCAATCATCAAAAAAAAAAAAGATCAACCCTCTCAAGAGCATCGTAGGAGCTCATCCAGGTCCAACTACAAGAAAGCACATATGCAGAGGCCAAATGGCCCTCAACTTGCACTACTATGACCAGTCGACTATTGATGTTCACTCACATTTTCCTCTAGGTGATTCAGGATTCTGCACAAGTCACTACCAGCCCCCAGACACCATCCAACCCTTGAGCATCCCTTAATCAGAACTAGCCAACAGACTCGTCTGCTCTTATTCAACACTACTAAGCTTGCCCACACTACAAAGCTCATCTAGCACACACTCTGCACAATTGAGCTCGCCTAGAGATCAAAATTAAAAAGAGAATTGTTAAAGTTTGCTTTTATAATTTTATGGGATCATGCAAGATTGAGTTAAGATGTCGAAACGTTAACTTTGCTTAGGCGAAAGAGTTGCAAACAAGATTAACCAAAACGATTCTTTCAAAGTTCTAGGCGAATTTAATATGCAAAGTACAACAACAAAACCCAACGTTTAGCAATGAGGAGTTCACCTTGGGGCCGTATCACTCAAGAGGTAGTGGACTTTTGGCGGAGATAGAAGATCCAAGAGATGAACGAAGTTACCACTAGGGAGAGGGCGCCGAAGAACTTCGTCGGAGGAAAAGTTGCCGGTTGGGATGGAAGTCGTAGACGACCGT